ATGTAAACTTGATGTTCTAAGGACTCTTTTGTCCTTAAACAAGCATTCCAGTGGTTAAAATTTCACTGTTAGATGATATTTTATTTATTGTGGTATATTTATAGGCCAATTTTCCCAAAAAAAAAAAAAGCATTGTGTCATTTGATCCTCGAACTCCACAAAACTGCTACTTCTCACAGAAACAAACTATTTTGTCTAAAGGACATCATCATAATCAGCCTCTCCTATAAACAGTCAACAGTGCATTATTTTTTATTGCTGTTTCAAAACTTTCTTTGTAGAAATTCCTCACCATTTTCCAAACACTTAATATTAGTCTCTGTAGCAGATGTAAATCACACAGAAACCACATTCATGCCAATGAACTCTATTCCAGTATAATGTAATCCTCTTTCTCCACCCATCAGTAGTGTTGCATTAATACATTAGTCTTCTACACCTGACCTGTTAAAAAATCTCTTTATATTCCTTATAAAAGAACCTATCTTGGAAGCAACAAATCATCCTGTTTCCGAGCGGCTCAGCTGCATCCATTTTCTATCCCTTATGGACCTACAATCACCTTCATTTCTCCTTCTTTTCTAAAGATGAAGAAATGTCCATAAACAACACAGTTCACCTCTTGAGGAATTCAAGATAATGGAAGCAAACGCACACATGGGTTGGGCAAGAATTGCAATTCCAGATCATTAACAAGTTAAAACGAGTGGATGTTGGGAAGGGGAAAGCTACAGCATTTTCCTCTTCCAGTTGGCTTAACTGTTTTAACTTCACCTTAACATTTTTATAATTCCAGCTACTCCATTGCTGAAAATGTTCCTCCCTGATCTGAAAAAAGTAATTTATTCTGGGCTGGTGCCACCTCTTTGTCCAATGATACTCCACTTAATGGGACAATCTTCAAAGCTTTATGAACCTCAGACTGCAGTTTTTAAGACCCCATGCAAATGCCTGATGAGTTTGTTCTCCTTTGAACGCTTTTGGGGACTATAGCCTCTCCCAACATCCAAATCCCATGGAGAGGCTGAAGACTAACAGGCTTCGCCTTGCGCGTAAATGTTCTGTCTTCATCCCTAAATAAGCTTTGCTACAGTGCCAGGGGGGTTTTAAACAATTATCCTGTTAATGAAATCTCTCTTTACACCATGTAATGCAAATACTTCATTGCCTAACCTGCCACAACTGTGGCAGAAAAAGAGCATGTAAGTACAGGATATGTGAATGCAACACACAAAGCTTCAGAACTACCATCTTGGTAGTCACTTGGCTTTGAACAATTACCAACAGCAGAAGATTAATGAGTGTCCCCTACCTCATGATCTGATCCACCGCAGAGCTCTTCACAGAGAATGAATTTTTATGTTTATTAAATCTGTACTAGATATTTAGCATACTTTTCATTTCCTAGTGTTTAGGCTGAACTAAAATAAAGACCCAAAAGCAAAAGGTCCAAAGAGCTATTTCTGCTTACAGGCAAAGGTTATTTTAAGACAGTCTTACAGATTACAGAGGGTGAGATGGGGATATAATGCTTTGGTTAGTGAGTTTTAGGAGTTCCATTCTCACATCAGCCAAAAGTTGCTTTGAGCTGTGCATTAATTTCATATTTACTTCCTTTAAGTGAACAGAAAAGTAGGACAATAGGAAGACCAGAGCCTTTGAACACTCATGCTTCAGTTCCCGGGGGTTTGGATGTCCTCCCTCCCTTCTGATGCCTGACTGCCACCCTGTGGCTATTTCACAATGTTCAGGTTCCGTCTTTTAAGGCTGAACTGTGAAGCCAAAGGGCTTCCACTAAATAGCAAATTCAGGGCCAGCGTTATTCCAAAAAGGTGTATCTTAATGCACGTTCAGAGAACCCGAAAGGGGTTTTGGACTTGCATTTTAATATTGTTGCAAGATTTCAGTATTAGAAGTCTCAGGGTAATCTGCCACTGTAGACTATAAACAGCCCAGAGTAATCACAGAAACTGAAGCAGCTGTCATACAGCTTATTTCTCCTCTTGAGCTGTCATACGCCTGGAGAACTTCTAGCAAACTCAGCATATGCTGATCTGCTTATGTTGATTCAGATCCCCTTTCGGTCTTACCCTTTAGGACTGTGAATCAGCTCATATGTGTTATTTTTCCTGGTTAGTCAGGCAATTGGTTTATCGTATTGTGGATGTGTCCTCTCTATTGTGGCACAGAAAACACAAGAGTCTCCAAAGTCTTAGGCACTAAAGTGGAACTTAGACACATTATTCTCTTCAAAACTGTTAACTTGAGATCATCCTAGCCCAGGGGCAGCTCAAATTTATTTGAATTTTCAAAATTAAACATCCAGATAATGAATGTTCTGACTCTGGGCATTCAAAAAAAAAAGCCACTTGCTGGGCAACACCAAGCACTTCAACACTGCTGTACGGCCCACTTGACCTACAAGCAGTATTTCTTCTACTTACCTCATTTGCCACAATCTGTCTGGTACGTATTTTCAAAGCTTCATGAACTGAGCTGAAGTCTAGCTGTCTTCCTTCAAAACATGTTGGAAGGACTTGCACTTTTATAGTATCTTCATGACTACAGCACTAGCGTCCAGCAACCAGAGCAGCTTAGGCTGCTCCCCCTTTTATCAGAGATGATTGAAAACCTGTCCTGACAAAAGAGGAAGAGTATCTTTCTTGCCTGTTGAAACCATTCTACTTGCATGTCCTAATTAAAGGTTCACCGGGCCACAGAAAGAGAGGAGTGAACTTTCTTCTCAAACCTGGCAATTACGGCCAAAACGTGACATGATAGCATTCTTGCTACTAGGACAGTATGTGTGGCTTTATCCAAGGGACAAAAATCAGAGTTGTGGACCTTGAGTTGACAAGGAGATGGAGAGGGAGATGGACTGTCTCTAGAGGATTCCTGAAGACTTCCTTGTCTTCAGTATTTTCGCTTGCACAGCTTAGGCAGCTCCCCACTTTTCCAGCGTTCTCTGTACGTATGAAGAGCCCAGCCTGGGGGATCAGAGCTCCTTATGGAGCTGAGACGTTGAATAGCTCTCCTGACTAGCATAATGAGACTTCTGGCCCTTTGTGGCTTAGGGTCAACACTCCAAGGTCAGAGGGAGCTTTTGACAGTGCCACTGAAGTTTCATCTGAGAGCTGATAGCCTGTTGAATTTAAGTCCTTACAGAACAGCTCTTGATTTCACCAAACACACGTACCTTCCTACACATAAAGTAATGCAACTTCCAGAACTCAGAGGCAGATCTTTTCTTCCTTTCCTCCTCATTCTGGAGGAAGAACGGGTGTATGGTTTTGCTTTGGTAGGACTAATTTTGATTACCTGTTTATACCGCATACTCCACACAAGCTGATTACCCTTCCTCCAAAATACAAATGCTGAGGTTTACGACAGTTCTCTCTCTGCAGCTGTGGACAAGCATTTGTTCCACGTCTTAGAGTGCAGACCCTGGTACAGACATATTTTACTCTGATGACAACAAGAATTGGTAAGATAAGGAATTTTATTATTAGACTTTCCTCCATCAACAGTTCTAATAATAAGAGGGAAAGAAATGGAGCAGGAAAAAACAAGGTGAGAGTAACTAAGGCCCGTTTTCTTCATGGTCTTTATCAACAGGTATCAACAATTTCATGATTATATTATTATTTCCATTACAATTTTATTCTGTGCTTAACAACACTCTTGGCCTGGGAAGATGCATTTCTTCCATTCCCTCACAAGCTATCCTCTTTTTGGATGTTGATCAGAAAAAGCACCGTATCTTCCTCAAAATCAACCCATCCCTTCTGGAGACTAAGCCGCCTGTCATGGAGGTAACAGGGTGATGGAGCCATCTTCACTAGTGCTATGCCAGGTACTATATCCTGATTTGGCATCTGTAATGTTGGTGTAGTAAATGAAAAGACACCAGGAAATGCAGTAAGGCTAATTCACATTCCAATAAATCACACAGTATATGCACTCTTGGGGTGTGTTTTGAAGGCACATCAGCCAATAGAGAAAGACCAGCAATGTACTGGCTGACGTGTGCCTATGGGTATGCAGCCCACTGACTTCTGCTGACTGAAAAGTTAAACGCATTTGAACAGTACCCCAACCCCTAACACTTTTACAATTTCATTAAATTTGCCTGCAGCTCAGACAGGAACACCTCGTGCTCCATGGGCCAGAAGTCATGAGTTCTCTCTGCTTAACAGATCACTCATCAGTTCAGAGGTTCAAAAAAGAGCGAAGCTTCAGGTCACCACAGACCAATTACCCTTTTGCTTCCTTAGCCACCCTTGTAGGGATCCCGAGTATGGACATGCCACATTTCTGTCTCTTCTGACTTCCAGTAAGAGGTTCAATAACACTCAGAAGTATGGCACTGTGGAAACCACTTGCAGAGACCCCATGGGAGGTTACAAATGGGCAAATAACCCAGAGGCCTTCACCACAGAAGAGATGTGGAGGGCAGCATTCCCACAGAGTATGGCATGCTGAGCTCTCACGTCTACGTGCCTGGGGAATCACCTCCACTTTCCCGTTTCTCTACCTCAATTAGGACTCAAATTAGATCTTTTTCCTCATGCCTATTCCTGCAGAACTGCTGTCTGCACCTTCTCTGCCTCACCCACATATATACAAATTGGTTTGGGCTCTCACGTGCTCCCCACTGCCCCTTGGTTTGGGCACTTCCATTGCCATTGTTAATTACATAGAGGTATTTGAAAATACTTTACCTACACAATTCCTTATTGCTTCCACATTTCACTAACTCCCATGTTCTTTGATTTCACGTCTCAACTTTCTTACTACATTCATAACCATCTCACAAAAGCCTATGCTAGATAAGAGACTTCCCTCCTATATACTCAGGAAATGAAGAATCAGCAGACAGAAAGGAATCTGTTCCCAGTCCCAAAGCTGCCTCCAGCTTGGTGGAACACAACCTCCTCTATTCAGCTTTTCCCCACAACTCAGCACCAGAGAAGAGGAATGAAAGAAGCACAAGAAGAATTGAGAACACATCTTTTACAAAATCGTATTAATCACATTCATCGATGGAATTACGCCACGCCACCTCCCCACCTCTGGCTTAGCCAGCTCGCTCTCCTCAGTGCAGTATCTTCATGGTGACCACTACAGGAGGCAACAAGGGTGGGAAATTCCTCTGTAAGGATCCGCTGCTGCTTATTTATGTAGATAGGCATCAAGCCAGAGCTCCCCTGAATCTTTCAAAGAGCTGCCAAGAGAGAACCACATTTCCTTAGAAACAAGGCAATGAAATACAGCGTCCAGGGAACAGAGGCTTGTGAGAAGAACTCCCATCTATAGATTAAGCAAAGGAGATCATAGAACCATAGAATGGTTTGGGTTGGACAGGACCTTTAAAGGCTATTTAGTCCAACCCTCCTGCAATGAGCAGGGACATCTTCAACTAGATCAGGTTGCTCAGAGATGTTCAGATGCAAGGCAGCGTAGACTACAGCTCCATGGAAAGATGAAGAAGAACCAAACCACTAGGGATACATCAGACAAAGACTGGAAGTCTAAAGTAAACAATTAGAAAGCAAACAAAAGGAGCAAGCATGGCGGAAGAGAGCCACATGACTTTTCAATGGAATAAGAAATATCTGGCAGGCAAGGAGTGGAAGAAAGGAAGAAAAAAAGAATGAATGAATGAATGACACTTCAAACTCATCTTTATTTCCCTGGAGCATACTCTGAGACAGAGGTGCCAGACCTGGCATCCTACCGACCTCTGACTCTCAGAGCTGAAGAAAAGGAGCTCTCCATTAGGTTGTTCCTACTGACACTTTCTGTCTGCTGCTACTGAAACCAGCTGAAGTTTTCCAATCCCTTTCATAGTCATCTATACGATCAACAGTTATTCACAGAACTTCTGTGATCCAAGCTGGCTGCTCCTCCCCTTCCCATATCCCTTGCTTGTTCACTCCGTAATACTGGAAAACCCTTCACTTAGGGAATGCAGCAGGTTGATACATACTGCACTATGTCCGCAAAGGCGGTGAGCAATGGCTTGCACTGGTACTCAATACCGTGTTTGGCACACAGGGACTTCACCAAAGGGGCCACCTTCCAGTAGTTGTGTCGAGGCATTGTAGGAAAAAGGCTGTGGAAAAAGAACATGGTGATTCAATGGCATCCACCATCACCCACAGAATTCCTGCCCCTCTTCTGTGCCTAAGCCTGGGAGTGCCTCAACCTCCCCTTGTGCCCATAGCCATTAGTGCTCTGTAGTGGTCCCCCTCATGTCACTTCCGTCAGTATCTGTACTAACCAGGAGGCTGGTAATTCTCACTCCTGTGCCATGCTGCTCATATCTGAAGTGGTGCTGGTGCTCACTGGTGCTCCAAAAAGTTTCTTGGGAGTTCCGATTCCACCCCCATATAAAGAACACAAAATTTACCCACATTATCTTTTGTTCTTGTATTAGCTGATAGAGAGACAGGGACCTTGTAGGCACTTCAGACCTAGTCTAACTAGCACTCCTTGAAATTCCCTCACATCCCCAATCCATGTTTCAACTCACTGGTGCTCGATTTGGAAGTTCAGATGTCCGCTAAACCAGTCATTGAATAAAGACTGATGAACATTACAGGTTGCCTGGAGCTGAGAGAAAAAACAGTAACATTTAAGTGTTGTTTTAGGAATGCCCCTTCTCTTACATGTGCCAAACACAACAGTAAGCAGGTACAAGTTCCTCATCATCACATGCCTTCTGGCTAAATACAGCAACTCCAAGAGCTATCTCCAGTCAACACGAGATGGCCATGCTGTATATATGATTGTTAGGGACATAATTTAGGAGAACAGACTTGACTTCCCCAGTGAGATAAGCCATAACAACCATGACTTTCACCTCCCTCACTTAAAAAAAAGTGTAATGGCTTCAGAACTAAAAGAAGACAGAGCACAAAAGAAAGATCTGCATCCTTCATGCACAGAAAGCTCTCTATCTGAAGAGCATTGTAGTATCTCTAATTATTTTCCTTGAGGCATCTGTGCTCAGCATCTGAAGCCTCCATCCCACTTCCACACCTTCTTTCTTTGCACTAATCACTCACTTCACACAGTGAGGACAAGCTGCTTACATTCTCCTCTCTCAGTTCCCATCACTTCTGCGATCAGCTCTCTTGGGCGCTGCATACCCAGAACTACAATTTCTCACCTTCAAAGTCACAGGTCTCTGGAAAGAAGGTCTTACCTGGGTAGAGAACCAGTCCACATTCTTATCATAATCGATGTGCATCGGGATATGATTCATTTGTGTAATCCAGACAAACCAGTTACTCTCTATAAACCTGTGCATACAAATACACACAAAACCATTACTGACCTCACACCTATGCCATAACAAGTCAGTACAAAACACATCTACACATGCAAGCTAGTTGTTGCTTGATAAAATGAACACCGGGAACCCCAAACAGATGTTTGGGGTTCAGCAAATCAGACCTACCCACACCTTCTACCTTCTACACAGACACCTTCTACCTTCTAAAGACACATGCCTGACAGACAACAACCAAAAGGAGACAGAAGAATAGGGAGCCGATGAGAAAGACAACCAGGAGGCTGAAGAAAACTGACACGAAGGATCGATAGGAACTGCGTAAAGAAAATGGAGGAATTCTAAGTTGAATGATACCTGACTAACAGATGAAGCCCCAGGATACCCTTCACCCCCATTAAGGGCAAGTAGGTGAGAAAGAATCGGATGTAGAAGGTCAGCATCCAGGCCAGGTCCTGTGGTATAGTGAACAGATGAAACTTGGTTAATGAAGAGGAAGAATTACTGGCTTCCGAAGTTACCATCCACTCTATGTGGCACTCCCTGTAAAACCTCCCATAATATCTTCTACTGAGAGATTTTTCCTCCCCAGCCCCATCACAAAGCAATCTGACAGACGGCCACTCCCCAGCCATTCCTGTGCTCAGGAATTATCCTGGCCCAGCACAGAGGAAACACTAGAGGACATGCTCTAAAGCATCACATTTTCCTCTGGATCTAAACAGAAAGCAAGCAGTGAGAAAACCAAAAACCTAGTCAATTAAAAGAATAGAGCTCTGGTCTACCTCCATCTCATCCTTTTTTGTTCCTCTTCACATTTCTTGCAATCTCTTATTTCCCTCACGCTCATTTTCTCCTGACTGTCCCACCTCCCAGGCAAGAATAAAACAGCAAGATGCCTTGTCTCTAACCCCCACATGTCAGAGAAGAGACATCTTTTTTCTGCATTTTTTTCTAAAGCCTCTAAAAAACATGCTATTCCTCAAAGTCCTAGATTTTCCTCTAACAACCAATCTCCCTAACAACTCTGAAAGTCTGCTACACATCCCCTATTCCACTTCACACTGAACTGTGAGGATTCAGTTTTAGGCTACCTGAAAGCTACCTGATTTTTAATATATCATTTGGCAAAATGGAGGCGCACTGAATCCTCCTCCACCACCACCCCCCGGTTTCTGCTACTTTTCCCCGTTTTCTGTGCCCATAAGTTTTTATTGTATTGGTTTGGGAAAACAAAAAAGAGTGGTCAGAATGACCACTTCTACCTTAAACTAGGCTCTTATGCTACCTGAAGGACAAGTTCTGTATGAACATCAACTCTGCAGAAGGAGGAACGCTTCCAGACACTCACACACCCCAGACGGAGCCAGAGAACATCTTTTCTTACCCAATGGTGAATGGATCTTTTACAGAGGAGAAGGGCTGGGTGGAAGGTACCCTCTCTCCCCCAGCAAACATTATTTCCCAGATCCTATATCCACACCCCTTGCCACAGAGATACACAGCTCAGAGATCCTCCCAGTAACTTCTTGCACTGAAAGGTATCCATGAAACAAGGAGAAGTCACTATTGGCAAAGTGGAGCTGACTTACCACCCACTGTTTCCGCTGTACCACGAAGTAGAATATGTACCACTGGAAGTAAAGAGGCACCAGAGCTGGGGGACCAACTAGAGTGGAGAAATAGATTGCAGAGACATTAACTGTGCCCTTTTATCCCAGCGAGATGGACTGGAAAGGGAAGGGGTTGAGTGAATGCTGCCCATACAGCTGCAAAAGGGTAGGGTTACTCACTGATGAAGAAGTACTTGTGCTGGTGGTTGTAAGGCATGAATTTCTTCTTTTGTGCACCAAGCTGTTAAAATAAGCGAATTACTCAGGCCATGAAGACAGCTAGACATCTGTGCATACACTCCTACCTACGCTTTCAAAGAAATGCATACTTAGATACCTCCTAACCTTGGAAAGAGATGTCCTATCAAACCATGCCAGCATCCGCCATGCTATTGGCTTCATCATCCCCTGGAACTTCAGTCTGTGACTGCTAGGATAAGTTTTCTTCCCTGCCTTGGATGCGCAAGAGGCTGGGTAGTCCCTCACACCACAGACAGCAAAGTGCACTGGAAGCTCTTTTCCTACAGAGGGCACGGTTGCCTAACAACACTTAAACCGAAAACCACATGATGCACCAAGAACAGCTTGCTGCCCATATAGAGCTTCAGAAAAAAAGAAAAACCTATGATACTATTAACAAAGGTGACAGTGTGTAGAACTCCCACCTACTTGCAATTAGCAAATCCAAAGCAGAGAAATGAGCATCTAGACATTAAACTGTGTCCACAGGAACAGGGGTGAATGATTATCCTCCCTCCGAGACTGCTAATCTTTCAGTTTTCACTGTATAAACATAACAGATCACATCACTGACATCCTTGAGGAACTCCATTATATCCCTGTACATGTACAAACCAATTCCGAATAGCAGCCCTCCCTTAATTTCAATGCAAATCGGAGCATTTAAGCCAGGTGACACTATGAATTTATGTAACTATTTTTTTAAAGGACCAGCAAATGCTAAAGCCATTCACTTAATTGTGTTCAAAAAACGGGTAGATGTGGCACTTCGGGACATGGTTTAGTCTAGTCTACCCTTGATTGATTTAGTGTGGACTTGGTAGTGTAGGTTGGCGGTTGGACTGGATGATCTTGGAGGTCTTTTCCAGCCTAAACGATTCTATGATTCTAATTTCAGAGTTGTACCAGAAATAAAGTTGGACTCCAGAAAGGACCCGGTCTGACACCCACTGTCAGACTGAGGCCACTAAAACAGCTTCTCTGATCACTAATTTTAAGAGTTTCAGATAGTCCTTGCTTGTCATCTGCTGCTTCGTTTCCCCAAACACTACAATTAGTCAAAGCTGATCTTGGTAAAGAGAACAGCTTGCAATCTTATCTTCATACAACTGCAAGTCCCTCATCAGAGAAATACGAACTTGTAATTGTGACAAATAATTCATTCGTATTTTAAAACACAGCAAAAATAACTTCTATTGAAATTTTAAGAATATAAAAATCTCAGAGTATTGAAGTATTACTAAGGAATATTAGGGACTAGTGGAAGGCAAAGCAGTATATAAAACAGCAGGTCAACTCAACCCATTTTCTGGATGTACTTCTCATTTTACACAAGCAGTTTTGGTGGGTTTTTTTAAACCTTCAGAATAAATTTGGAAAAAATTCAACGCATAGGAAGATTGTATTAGGGAAAAGGAAAAAAAAAAAAAAAAAAAAAAAAAAACCCCAACAGTTGCAACATTAAGTATATGGAAGCTAGTGATGCGTCAGGATCTTTTTTTCTTCTTGTGTTTCAAAGGCCATTAATGCCAAGCTGCACCTTCTCCACACTTCTGAAAAACTGAGACAGCTCATTGACCAAACCAACTGGTCACTAGCCTCCAAGCTCTCTGCAGCTTTCCAGATTTGAAACCTAATGCTGTAACCTCCCAGCCTTCACCAGGTCTCACCTCTACAGGGAGTGTTTTTCCCAAAGCAAAAAATAAGGGGTGCATGTTAACGTCGGGGTCCTTTCGGAAGCAGTTGGGTTTAGCATGATGTTGGAAGTGGAGGTGATTCCACCAGCTGGCTGGTGCTCCCTGCAGGAAGGGGTGAGAAGAGAGTGCTGTAAAGAAGTTTTATCTTCTGCCCTTAGTCCTCCCACCCCAATAGTTTCTTGCACTTGCTTTCTTCTTATACTGAGATTGGTTTTGACTGCAGAGCTTCCCAGGCAAGGCTCTAGCAGCCCCTCTCAGCACTGAATGCCCACCTTCAGATGGCCAATCACGAACTTGTGCACCCAGTGGTTCCATCTGGACTTGCTGAAGACTGAAAGGTGTCCAAAATCATGCTGGAGCCAGCCAGCCTGGGCCTGGAATTAAAAAAAAAAAAAAACCAAAACCAAAACCCCATGCTGCTTGGGAAAAAGAAGAGTCAGGAGTCCCTGCATCAGCAAAGGGCTTTCTCTTCTTCCACTCCCACACTCCTTGCAACACACCCCTGGATAGCGAGAGCATTTCCACTACTAAGACCCAATCCAAACAATTCTCTTTTACTATATACCAGTGCAATCCAGACTTTGCCTAATGACTTTTAGTCCCAGATAGCTGTTTTCATGAAGAAGGAAAAAAATCATGGAAAAAAAAAAAAAAAGTCATGGAGCTCAGAAACAGCATTTATTCTCTTACAAAACTGCACTGAAATCAGCAACAAAGTCTCCTTTAAGGAGCAGCTTGCTGCTGCCTCCTCCGAGTACTTGTAATTCCAAGGGGATCAGCTGGCCACCGGAGACATAGCTGGGGCTTTGAGAGCCGCTCTGCCCTCTCCTCTAACTCGCTGCAAGTTCCCATGGGAACATGGTGGCTTGGCCCCTGCACAGTGCCTTGGAGTTCTGGCACAAGGGACCGCAGAAGTGCGGCATGGCTCTCATTGTATGGAGAAGGCTGGGAATAAGGAGGGCTTTGACGAACGACGGGAAGGAAAAAGCAGGGCAAAGCCTGCTCTACCAAAGCAGCATGTCGTGGCACTGTAATTTTGCCCCTTCGGTGGAACCCAGGGAGAAGCAGAATTTTAGGAAGTCCACAAAGATAAGATTTCTCCTGCGCTTATGGCGATGAGAACCTAAGTCTCAAAGGATTGGCTTTTGGTGTTCCTGGGGCTTCTTTTTGCCTAGCTGCTTACCTGGACAGTGCCTAGAAGCACTGCAGAGACGAGGAAAGGCACTGTGGATGCTCCAAAATACCAGATGGTGAGCCAGGCTGCAACATCCAACACCAAGATGTGACAGAGGTACAGGATGAAAAAGGTGCGGTTGGGGTTGAGAAGTCCCATCTTCTCGACGGTTGCACGGAGTTCACGGAAATCTTCTACCAGCTTTTTCTGTGGGGAGACCCAAGAGTATCTGCTGGTCTGAAAGTAACTCAGGAACCCAAAGAGGAGCTCGGTTTCCCCTCTCAAGGAGCTACTGTGGCAATGGGGAAAAGCTGAGGGTCAGCTGGAGACAAATCTTCACTAAGACTACTAATAATGACATGAAGTCAAGGCGAAGCTTCAGACCAACACAGTGATTCTAGGAGATACTATCACTTCACGTACAGGGAGTTCTGGCTGCCAGTAAGAGATGTTAAATAGCACAATTTCAACCCAAATACCAAGTTTTTGAGATACTTACATTCTTGCTGGGCTCAAAGCTGGGTTGATCTGGTGCCAGTTCCCCGATTAAGAGTGGGCTCATGTACTTTCTCACTAGTGCCTTATCAAGATGAAATGCTATGAAAGGATCCTGAAATACAGATATAGGAACAGGATGAGAAAAACAACCACTCAGGTGGCAGCAAAAGAAATGTATTTCATGTTACCCTGGACTCGGCAGAAAGCAAGCCAACTAATGGAGGTGGCTGAACCAGATTTTACTGCCACAAAGCTTACTGCTTTCTTCACACCATGATTATTTGAAGCTGAATTCTCTGTATCATTTTCTGGATGCTGTTAAGTGTAGGTCACCAAGAAATATGGGCTCACTCCTCTCTTACTTCTGAATCTGAAGATTTCGTATCCTGTTGAACCTCAAGATATATCATCTCAAGCACATACTCCTCTGGCTCTATTTTGTCTTTAGTTCCACCTTATTTTTCCTCAGGCCCCATATCCCGAAATGAAAGTCTGACTAGGGAGAAAGGCAAGATGTTAGCACAAAAACTGAATCAGCTCGCTGAACTGGGAAAAATAATGGGACAAGCAGGACACAGACAGGTGATGGCAGCTTCTGGTGACCCACACCAATCTCTCAGAAGCCCCACGTTGCTCCACACATGCTTCCTTGGCAATCTCCACCCCCCCCCCTGCCACATCTTCCTAGAAAATTTTTGTTTTCTTGCTACCTGCCTCCTGTTCCTCACCAGGTTCCCCTCCACATTTCTGAAGAGTCCCATAAAAAGGCCTTTTTTTTTTTTTTTTTCCTCCTCCTTACCATTCAAAAGATCCCGGTTAGAGAAATCAGCTACTTTTATCATTTAAATGTAATGTCAATCTCCATGACAACCAGGCAGCCCAGCTGAAAAAAATCACTAGTGATTGTTATCACTATTCTATCACTATACTTAAGACTACAAATCCCCTGAGCACACATGGCATTTTGACATCTACTTCCTACTGAAGATCTCCCATTTACCTCCTTTTGCACATTTCTCTCCCTGTCTCCAAATTAGCATATACTTTACCATCTTCCTCAGCCTAAGGATGCTTTTTCTTTTCTGAGACAATATTTGCCCACTGCGCATCAGTTTGGAAGCTTCCTGCACCATGCATTGTTCAGCACCGCCACTACTAGCTCATCATTGCATGCTTTTAAAATAAAATTAGCTTTTTAAAAGACCTCTAGCCAAGAAAGGGGTTAAAAAACCAGCTGATGTTGCCAGCTCGGGGTTAGCCCCTGTACTTCAGATGTAGCATCCTCTCTGCTCAGGCTTAGGTG